GGACTGGTTAATAACCCCTAAATAACCCAGCCCTGAAGAAAGCTGGGTATTAAAGGAAGGGCCACTGCTGGAATGAAATAGGGGGTCTACTGACCAGTCCTGCGTCTGCTGCAGTCATATGCGTGTCCCTATGCTAATGAGCAAACTCCAACAAATTTCACACTCTAACTCTGTGAAATCTTACACCCTTTCACATCATGTATGCAAACCTCAAGCTCAGCACTTGAAGTGAAGGCTATACAAAGAAGAACAGTTACACAGGCAAGAAAGAAAAAGAGATGTCCTTGTTTTTCAGGAGACAATCACTGAAAAGAGGTGTAGCAGGAACAGGTTCTAGACAGGGACAGTACTAAATGTACCAAACGAAGCAGTACAATGGGTTGCAGTTTTTATGGAAATGTGTGATGAGTTTCCCAAAAGGAAACTCTCATCAGATTGGACTAATACCAACAATCATGTTACTGATTTAGAGCATGGTAAATTATCTCACACTGAGGTTTGCATTGCTGTAAAAATAGATTGTACTTGACATAAAGAAATGATAACTCGAGTAGCCCAACAGCCATTTCTGTCAACCTTATGTTCTGAAAAACTAGAATGCCTTGTTTTCTTTTTATCTAACAGAAAGACTTAGTAGTAGTGATTAAGGTCCACAGTAATATTAACTTGCTTTTGTAGGCAATGGATTTAGTCAAGGGCAAGGTAGACAGTTACTTGGGGAAGTAGATATAGAAAAAAACAGCTGTCCTTCTACCCCTCAACCCTTGTTTATGATGCCAGAGCCTTGCAAAGTTGGTTTGTCTTTGGTGAGTGGGCTGGTGCATACCTCTGGGGAGAGGAAGAAGAGGAGCTCCTCCCAGGCACCAGGCACCATCCTTATTTCCCTGTCTCCTAGGTCGTTGGAGCAGCAAACCCAACTCCCCACATTTTCTTACCAGCTTCCTCTTCCCTCCTGGTAGCGGGAGTTGCTCATCCCTGGGCAACCTCCCTCCCACCCAGCCCCCAAGCCCATTTCTTGGAATAGGAAAATTCAGTTTTTCCTCCAAGGCTGGAGCTGACTCTGATGATTTGGCTGCATGTGTTCAAGGTGGGGGACTGCTGTGCCAAGTAAGCTGTGTACTGAAGAGGTCGTCGTGAGACAGTCCTAAGGAAAAATATTTGTCTTCAGGGATAAACAAATGCAGTGATTCAAGTTTAATGCCAGAGATCTTCCTATGATATGGTATTATACCTAACTTGTAAAATGGAAGATGCAGCACAGCCTGAATTGGAGGAGAGTGTATTGTACCTTTCTCTCAAATTTTCCCTAAAGGTTTACATTTTCCTTACCTACTTAAAGGTAGCTCCCGCTTGTTCATTTAATTTCATATTTCCAGTAGAGAACATAACTCTTCTGTTACTTAGAACACTACTTTTAAAACTCACCCTAACAGGAAACGCTTTTTTCTATGCATTTAATATAAATGTGTTCATGTGTTTAACTCTGTTTCAGTATCCAGTACCATTGAAACAAGTGAAGCAGTAAGTTTTGGGGATTTCAAAACCTCCTTCTCAGACTGCAAACTGAAATTGATTCCCTATCTCTTTCTTTCTTAGTATGAAGCATGTGTTTTGAGTTTGAAAGTATTTTTATTTCAGATCAATTATGTAGTCAATTTTTCCTTTAAATTTTTATTTCAGTCAACTATGATATGAAGACCAGTAAAAAATTCTGATTTTAGCTTAAAAAAATGTTTTGTTGTTTTATGTCTAATCTCATGGCTGTTCTAAGACCAGAACATCTTTTAATGCATTTTAGCAGGATAATAAATTACAACACTAGTAGTCATCTATTTTTTATTTTTACTGTATCATTCTTTATCTGGAAACGTAAAAGAATGTCCAGCTTCCAAACATGCAATCATCAGAAGAGATTTCTCATCCTTTCTCAGTCAATGTAATCAGTACATAGAGGAAACCAGAAAGCTGCCTTCACTTGTACGGTAATAAATCTTTTATCATTGTTCTTTTTTTATTTCATTGCAGTTTAGGAATTTCTTTAAGAAACTAGAACTGTCTATCTGGAAATCAGTGGAAGATCCAGGTCATCACATTAGATAGAAGAAAGGCGTCCTTGTTTTTAACCATCAGCAGCTGAAACTGCCATCAGTGTTCAAGGAGTTTGGGAAGAGTTGTGCTGGATTGATAGTGATCCACTAACTCCAAAATGACCAAAGAAGAACAAACACTATAACCCTCAGCAAAAACCTCAGACACAAAAGAGGAAAAAATATTTGGTGGCCTCCTCGGAGAGTGCTTTTATCAGTTTGGTGTTGGAGGGGAGGGTGGTCAGGGCTGTGGCTTGAAGCACGGGCATGCATACTCCTCCCACTATTCAAACATAAAGTCTGGAAGGTCCTAGAAGGATTTGCATGAAGCTTTTTCCCAAGAATTTAGTAATACATAACATTTGCCCTCATCATTGCTCCTCACTCAGAGGGCCCCATGCTGAGTTTGTTTGAACAAGCCGCAGAGGAGGATGTGGGGAGCCTATAACCTAGATGATGGCAGCATCCTGAATTCTGCTGCTCCACTGGAGCTCCCTGGTGGAATATATGCTGGAGAGCAGCCACCTCTTAGCTGAAGGCTCATGTATTTACTTCAATTCCTCAATTTTCTGAACATAATTATTTTCTGACACACAAGCAGAGAACTACCCCCAGCATTAGATCACTTTCTATCGCTTTCTATCTTCGGTTGTAAGAAACCGAAGCTGGAGAAAAGATATAGGAAACCAGGCAATACATGCAACAAAGGTGATATGTACAATTCTACTACCTCTATACAGTTGTGAATAAACAGGATAACAAAAGGTTCCTGTTCATCCAACCCATTATGCAGGCAAAAATTCTATTACAATCAATGACACAAAATCCAGAATAGCATAGTATAAAGTATTTTGACCATCCAACAAAATGTACCAGAAAAAGGGGTTTGATTGTTATTCTGAACGCCTGTGAATATAGGGGTGTACAGAAAAATTTGGCATGTCCGACAAGACCCCCTTTTCAGGGTCTATTATGTGTTTAAACTAACTTCAGCGAAGCGCTCAATAGCATAACCTGGCAGAGAAGCAAGGGGGAAAGACAGCTGGGTTTCTGCTGGGAATGCAGCTGGCGCTTTTAGATGGCTAAAGCATCATTTGATTTTACCCTTTTTTTAAGGTTCTTGATTAATTTAGACATTGTTATTAATCTAAACATCACACCCATAGGATCAGACTGAGCTTGAAAAAGATTCAGAATTCTCTGTCTATCTCATTGTCTTTGCATTAGAACCACTTTAATGGGCACCACTAATGGTCCAGAGAGAAGAAAGGTGGGTCTGCTGAGATCTGGGTAGTGGACATAAACAGCCGTGGAGGAGCACAGAAAGCTAAGACTCCGTTGCCTTCTTGAAAATAAGAGAATCGTGTTTAAGCAGAGTTGCTAAGGGAAATTGCAGCCTAGAGGGAGCCAGCTGACTTATCCTTCATCCTCTTTCCTTTTGCGCTGCTGTTTGGTCGCATCAGAGCCTCTGAGGGAGACCTGCCTGTAAAGTAGTTGCAGTATTCAGTGTCACCTGGAAGCTCAGAAGCACCAGGTCTCTCATTTTAGATAGAGCCAAAGAGACAGGAGGAAAGTGATTTAGTGTCAGTACGGGGCTCCAAGAAGCCCTATGTTCGGACCTAGTCTAGCAGTAGCCTTGGAAATGAAGGGAGACCAGTATGTAAGGCTGGACAAATAGACATACAGCAGTATTCTTCATACACAGTGTAAACAGATAATTTTTGGAATTTTGAATAATTTTTTTTTGAATTTTGGAGTAATTTTGCTTTCTGGAAGCAAAGTATGCAATTATGCATATAAGTAGCTTTCCAGTCAACTAGTTGCCGTTAATTAGAGGAACCAGATTTTACTTTCTGTGTGTTGTTAGGGACCCATATGCCACTAAAGTTGATTATGTATCTGATGCTGCTGTAGCATTTAAAGGCACCAAGTGGGGATCAGATCTCTTGGTGTTCAGAGCTGAACAGAAGTGCAATACAAAACAGTCCATGAATTACAGCACCAGTGGTGCATTGTGATTATCTTTTCTAACTGGCTGCATAACACAGGACATAGGATTTCCCTGAATTCTTTTTTGAAGAGCTCCATCCTCACAGAACTCACCCTCTAGGCTATTGGAAATTGCAACCAGTTCATCAAACAATTGGATAAGGGAAGGAGGGAAGATCATGAGCTATAAAAAAGGTGAATTGTCATACAATACATGGAGATTACAGCCCACCACCTGCTTTTTATATTACCACCTAAGCAATGTTCTCTGACTTTTGTCCAAATTTCAACAAAAGGAGGAAACAGGCAGAAAGTAGCTAAACAATTTCATTACCTTCATAGCTGTTCTGAAGTCTTAGAGACATCCGTAAAAAGTAAAATATCCCAAGAATTTCTGAAGTTCCATTCATAGGTAATAAGGTAATAAGACACACCCAAATTCATTTATTCCTATTGTGAAAAACACACAGGATAAGATTCAGGCCACCTACTTTGGTGCCTATGATAAATCTGAGGAGTTATTAAGAAGCTTAAGATGAATAAAGAGAATCGTAATGCTAGCTCTCCAGCTTGATGTAATCCTGAACATGACCAAGTTCAGGTGATGAGCACATTTTATGCCGTGAAGTCCTCCAAATTTTCTTGGTCAGAGCAGCCACTGAAGTTCCCATCTAAGTCATTACAATTCAGACCTGAAAAGGTGAGCTTACAAATTTAGCAAAGAAGAGGAAAAACTCTCTTCTGCCTTTCTATAGTTGATAAGCACTGAATAAAAAGAAAAAAAAAATGAATACTTGTTTACTACTGAGCACTCAACCACTAGCTTACATATCCTTCTTAGTGTGCGTCCTCCTTCTTCTTTTCATCTTGTGCTTGTGATTTGTATTATCTTACGCTATGGTTCATGCTCATGCCTCTGCTCAGCACTTCCTTGACTAGCTCGGCCTCTCTCGGGAGGTGACCACCTCCTGCCATCGACTGGACACAGACCCTTGGTGCGTGACTTTGGTGCTCTGAGGCACCTCACAGCGTCAGGTGAGTACTCCAAGGCACTGGTGGGCTAATTTAGGTGGTCAGAGTTCACATTTTAAGTTGGGATTGGATCAACTACTGCATGCTAGGGTAACTAGACACTCCTCAGTTATTCTGGATGAATTTTATATCCAACTTTCTGGTTCTGTTACATTTTTTTCTTCACTCTGGGCCCCTTGGAGCCTGGGAGTCCTGTTGAAAGCAATGTATTACCACATGATTGGAGGTTGTAGGAAAAATCCTCAGCCTAAAAAAAGTCTCTGAAATCCTTGTCATTTTCTTTAAAGTAAGCAAAAAGCTATATTTTCATCTGGCATGCATCATTAAGGCATGTGGTACAACATTTCACTGTAATATTCAGAAAGGAAAGGGAAACTATTGTGAGGATCTTTGCAAGTAGCCAAAAAGACTATTTGAGGAACAAGAGGTCACCAAGCAAGCGAAATATGTGAACTGAAACATTCAGACAGAAAATATTAAGATTTACCCTTTACTACCTAGTTCTTGTTATACCACAAGTTATAGAAATGTAAGACTAAATGGGACTTTAGAAAGTGTTCCATTTTATCTCTCTGGGTTGAGTGTGGCTGGATTTAGCATGCCATAACCATTCTCGGTGTGAATTTATCCAGGTTGTTCCTATAAAACCGATGGGGTTCCATAACTTTCCTATATATAAGTTTATAGTTTATAAGTTTATAAGTTTCTATATATAAGTTTAGCTTGTTCGAATGCTAAACTACCATTACAGCTAGAAAGCTTTTCATAAGATCTAAGAGAAATCTTCTTCATTATGACTATCTTTTTTTTTCCCCAACCTGAATATCTGATCTCTGTTCTCATTATAGTGCATGTTCAGTACTTCCAGGCTATCATTCCCACTTTCACACTTCATTTCCTTGTTTGTCTTATTTTCTACACTTAAAAAAAAAAAATCCAATTTTTTTTTCTTCCTGATGGCAAAATTCAATAAAGTACTTTAGCTGTGATGTCAGCTTCTCCTAGTACAGGGGAACTATATACCTCTGCTGTTGGTTTCATCAGGACTCTGGGGAAGCCAGAACTTTGTGGTGGATCTGTCTGCATATTTTCTTGGGCACACTTGAATGGATTTGAATCACAAACACTGTCTTATATTAGAATATGTGTTTGAAAATAGAATGAACATTTAAAATAGAGAAACTGTAATCAGCTAGGAAAGACAGAATTGTGGTTCAGTGTTTTTTGGGGTTAAAACACACACTGCATATCCCTTTTCAGACCCTCAGGGAAGACTTTTTCTTCGGTCACCCCTGAGGCCTGGCTCTGTACCTATAGCTTTCTCTGTCTCTCCCTTACCTACCACACTGCTCTCCAGGTTTCTCTCTGCTAATGCGGAGAAGAAATGCTCAGCTGCTCTCAGGTGAGGTTCCCCTTACCCAGTGCACAGCAGCCAGGCCAAGGCATGCGTAAGTGGGCTCAAAAGTCAGACCCTCTTTGCCTGTGTTTAACAAATAAACATTAAGCAAACAAAACAAAACAAAACAAAGTAAACCGTCTCATGCCACTGTTAGTACCTCCCCACCTGTGATATGGCTTTTTGTAAGGGTATCACATTTTTTACTCATATTCTAGTTGTACTCTCCCACAGCCCCTACGCAATTTTCTGCTGCGTTGCCAGTTGTTTCAATTTTTGATTTGGGCATTTTGCTTCCTCAGGGCTGTACCTTGCACCTATCTTTCTATATTGTTAATATTATGCCGTTTCTCCAGTCTGCCTAGGTCAGACTCATGACGGGCACATGGAGGACCTAGGGCAACATCCTTCCGTTTGACAAGAAATAATTAGAATGACTCTGCCATTTTTGTTTTAAAAGTTGTTGTGCACCCATGTGATGCTGCTCTTATCAGGACTGCACTTTCTCAGTGTGTTTCTAAGAATGGCCTTGCATGTTTCAAATCTTCAGTGTCCAGCCAAGACATATTCATTTTATTTTGATAATATAGAACTTAAGCTCTGACCCTTATTTCCGTAAGATCATTTTTTCTTAATGTTTAATAGAACTTCTTTGTTTTGTAACATTAGTTTTAAAACACCATAACCCCCTTGTATATTCTATATAGATTTGTGATGAAAAAAACACATTAAAACTGTTAAAAATGTAGGAATTTTCATGGCTGTGGCTCCAGGATCTGTCTATTGCTTTAGATAACAATATCAGAAAAATCTGATAATGTCAGGTACACTTCTTGCAAAAACTAGGATCTAATTAATCTATTACTAACTTTTTAAATGTTCATGACAAAGTTGTATTCTGAATCTCTGTTGGCCATTTTTACCTGGCACTTTCCTAATGAATGACAAGTTGTATGTACACTTTTTTTTTTTTTTTAATTAGAATACCTTTATCAGAAAATTCTTACCAAGGAGAAAGAGAGCTACTGTTGGACTTTTGCCTCCATTAGGAGCTCCTGCATCAGGCTATAAGAGGTTTCTCTAAGGAGATGGTGGAATTAAACACTATCATCTCATACGAAAGCTCATCTTCTATTTCAGCAGTGTAATGTTATCTTCAGGAACATCTCTCCTCGACTATATTGACTTAGATATTATCAGCTAAAATTCCTTTCAGGCATGTCTGTTATGACAAATCTGCAGCTCTCAGATAGGCATCGTATTTAGAACATATCTGTACATTCACTATCCTCTTTCTCTTAGTATATACGGAGAACTGAGACCTTCTTTGTTTTCCTTCCTCCAGAGCATCGTCTGTTTTTTTTCATGTAAATTCTGCGTACACCCCCATAGACTCAAAACAATTCAGAACCTGTCCTGTAGTAAAACAGATGTTTTCTATAGCAGACTGTATGCCTGTAAAGTCACACAGCAGCCAATTTTCTTTGCCTAAAATGTTCACATATTTTTTTTTTTTCTGCAAGAGAAAATTTATTTGGGAATTGGAGATTTATTTGGGGTTTAGATTTGCGGGTTTTTGGTTTTTGTTTTTTTTTTAATTTGAAAACTAAGAGTTCTGAGAAAATGTTTTAACATTAATGTGTTAAATTAATATTGGCCCAGAGTCCAATGAAGCAGGTAGAAGTTATTCCAGAGAAGGATTTCATTCTTAGTTACTAATTAGATATAACCACTGGCATAGAAATGTCCTTCTTTCAAAGGTAAGACCTAGACTGATGGTTAGACTACACACTTTTTATTGAAATGAAATTAAATGTGCTGCCTGGCATGCAGAATAGAAGGAGATAAATAACCAAAAGAGCTCTTGTCAACATGAAGATGCTTGTGGCTGTCATCACAGGGACACTTCCTATCTCTCATTGCTCTTGGTCACTATTCCTCATTTTGTGGTCATAGATGAGCCACTGGGCCTATTTTAATGAAATATATACTTCTATGGATAAAATCATTTCATCCTGTCATTTCCATTCCAGCGCACTGGAAATCATTACTAGGTCTAGCCATTTTCCAAATTTTTGTCAGGTTTCAAAATTTTTTTGGAGCCACTCATGAGATTCAAGCGTATTTTTTGTCCAGCAGGCCTCGAGTTTATCAGGATGTCTCCAGGGTGACTGCCACTGGCCTCTGCAGCCAGTCTGCAATAACACGTCAACAGTATTCATGCACTAAAGTCTGAAAAGGCTCCTAACATCAAGATCTTTACGCAGTGTTCTCCTAAAATGGGAAATTGAACTTTGGCTCTTGGACTCCCTCTGGACATTGATGACATTGTCATTTGTCAAATGACTCTGAGAAAAACAGTTCATCCTTAGCTTCCATGCTAATGAAATCTTTCACCAAATACCTGCATGAGAGAAGGACGCTATTCAAATTTGCTCTGGAGAACTGCTGAATTTGCAGCAGTGAAAAAAGCTAGAGGGTTTTAATGCAAAATGTGTGCCTCTGATGAGACCCATGCTCAGCACAACCTTTACGAGAATATGAGTGAGAGCATTGCAGATGGAGAGAAAAAAAAAATCTGTCACCCTTACTGAAGACTTTTAATAGCGAAAGATGAGGCCTCTGTGCTATATGCTGCAAGTGTGAGAGGAAACTAAACTCCAGAAGTGCCTATTCTGTTTCGTTACCTATAAAGAGGACAAAAGGTGACTAGTTCAGATGTAGACCCTCCTACACTGCAGGTATCTGAAGATAGGTGCAACTAATGTCAACAACGTATTTGTTTTGACCATTTAACAGTGCTTGAAGGTATTTTAGTCACTTACTGGTGCAGCGACAGAATGTAGTTTTATGATTCCAGCATTCATGATTCTGCATTACAAATGAAGATACTTTAAATAAATAGTTGATAAATAACATACAATGTTAAAGTTATTAATTCATTATTATTAAATGCCTCTACATAATCATGTGCAGATTTAGAACAATATGATACAACCTACATTTTTCTGTTTTCACAGATACAAAGCTGTGCAAGTAGGGTGCTTAAAATGACCTCTTCGATTACCAAATAGTGATAAAGTAAGAGGACCTTTCAGTTCTTCCTTGCATAGTGTCAGACATTTAGAAATGTCCCTGGGGTATATAATGAGCATTTTCCAAAGTACACATATGTCATAGAAATGTCCTCTTCTGTCTTTGCATATGTCTTTCAGGAAGCTTTTAAAAGTTACATTTCTTCCTCCCACTGCAACAGTTTTCACATAATTAGATCATCACTAATAACATCTCTACCTCTGATCACTGGGCCGTATGTGATATACAAAAAGAAAGGAAAAGACCAGTATTGCACAAACTATATGTCCATGTTCACAGTGATGTATCATCTATTTTTCCTTTTTATTTGATGTTGTTTTCCCCAAAACGCCTTTCAGCCTTGGATCTTGGGAGTGGCAGGACGTTTTCAGGATTTGCCCTTGCTATGTAAGGCCAGATGTTCCAGGATGAAGACACAGGGAGGATTCTGAGCAAGGTGGCTGATCAGCAACTTGAGCAAAAAGAGCAAGTTGTGGGTACTGTAGCTATAAAAGGCCAGAGACAGATTAAT